AGATTTAGAAGTATATGCGAAATTACCAGAAATGTATTGGCATATATTAAACGCACGTAGCGTGCTGTACGCGACAAAATGGAAGGAGAAGTACGGACTAGCGGAATCACGGAAGAGCACCAAGCCGGGGAGGAGCGCTGAACCAAAGAAGAGCGGCAAATGTCCACGGACGCACGGTAGAGGCCATAGCGATGAGAGCACGGACTGCAGTAGAGCATGAAACAAGGAGATACGTCAATGTACAGACATCGGACGAGTACATAACCGCGGAGCACGATACCACCGACGACGGAATCGCACGATTAGACCACGAAACAACAGAGATGCATGGAGCAACAGAAGCGCATGGAACCAGGGTAGAGTACAAACGACAGGTTAGTCCTAAACACCAACGCTAGCACGGTGTCCGTCCGTCACACGATTCCATTGGAGATTTTTGAGCTTTCTGGTTGGTTGAAAAGCGGAGCGAAGGCGTCCCTTAATGGCAAAAATGTAATTACTGCAGAGCGACTGTGATTTTCTAAAATTCGGCTATAGTAACTGGTTATATATGTTAGTTATGACTAATTTTAAAAAATCCATTTCAGTCGTTCAAATATTTAAAGGAATTTCTATCCAAGCATTTCAAAAATGGAGCCGTTCGATTGCCCAGTCTGTTGGCCCGAGCGGAGCCGCCGCACGTTGATCTTGATTGCCACGTGCTATAACTGCGGCAGTGCGGCTGCTGCGAGGCGCTCCAATCGCGGGATGCCTTCGCGGCCGGCTTCGCCAAAGCTGGGGCAGACGGTGCGTTGCGTGTGCCGATTTGCCGAGAGAGTGTGCCTTTTGGCACCACCATGGTATTGCACCACCATTGACCATGGCTAGCGACCACGAGCAGCGGATGATTGCACTTGCCGCTACTATGGGCCAACCGACACCATCGCCACCACGCATAGAGCGCGGGCTCCGGCGCCGCTGTCCCCACCGCATGCAGTCACGGCGTTGCCCGAAGAACCAGAACCAATAGACCTCAATAAGTGTATAGTAAAACGTTTCCTTTGGCTAAAATATCGTTACTTTTGCTACCCATTGAGTTATTTCTGTTATTTTTAAAGGCACACTTAAGCTGTGTGGACCGCTGTGTTATCTAAGAAACATTACGCTGTACTATAATCAATTTGTACCTTGGTTATTATTTTCTTCGACGCTTATAGCTTTAGCCATATCAGAAGCTAGAATATAGCTTCGCTAATTTTCCAAACGACTGATTTTGTGTCAGTTTTCGTATAATGAACTGATTAATTTTGCACGATCGCTAAATGGATGACTTTTCTTGAATAATTTGCGACAATTAAAATGTTAGAATGCAATTTTTATATTTCTGTTTTCAGTGAAACGGCTTTGAAAGCGAATGAGTAAATAGGATGAGGTTTAGATAATCATGACTTCATTATAGATAATACCGATCTCTAGCTGATCAACACACTCAAACTCACAGTAAACTTGGACACTTAGTCTGAAGTTCACTAATTCACATATTTATACATAAGTAAATTGGTAGTTGTCCGTGCGTGTGGTCTCCTATTAACGCAAACAGTTTAGTCATCTATATATATAAGTTGCTAACGCCTCCCCTCCCTTCACTATGGGGTACCGTCAATCACCTGTTTACAGAGCTGTCACGCTCCTTGGGGCTGTTCACTGGCTGAGCGTGTGTCAGCCAATCAAAGTGGTAAGATTCGTATAGGCTGCTCTGTGGACACCACTTTATTAGTGGGTGGTGTGAGTAGGCTATTTTAGAGGATGAAATATGATGGGTAAGAGGATATCTGACAGGGCGCAGGATTTGAAGATATCATACA